CATGCACAACTTAAACAACCCTTTTCCTTCACGCGCACCAATCTTCCAGCGTAGACCTTTTGCTTCAGCAAAGCAACCATCACGCTCAAAAGTGACCGGACCCACATCTTTTGTAAAACGTCCAACGGAGAATAGATTCCGAGAAAGGTTCGGGATGTGCCACACTAAAGTCAGCACACCTTTCTTCATTCCACATGGCGTATCCATTGTCATGACGATATCACCCGAGCCAACTGCCTGAACGATGCCATCATTCGCAAGATGTACGTCGACAGGAGTCATAACCTTGTAATTCTTCATGTACTCTTTCGAGTACGTCATATGCTGCGTTGCACCCGAATCGACCAGCCATACACAGCTTGATTTTGGAACACACTTATTTCCACCAACCGAAAAAAAGATAATCACCCGAGTAGTCCTCGCTCTGGGCAACATTTGCACGCTGCGATCTTTGACGCTCTGTGTTTTCACGGATGCGAGCTGGACATTTTGCAACCCAATGTCCAAGCTCACCACAGTAATGACAAGTACTTGATGCTTTCGCTGAAGCAGTACGGCCTTTGCGTCGTCCGCTGTCCGTCATCGCAAACGCTTGCCCTTGACCATGTCCAACACCATCAATACTTCCACCTTGCTCCTTCCGTTTCATGTCTTCGTGCAGCAGCCGAGACGTCACAAGCTCCCACGACAACGAGTCCGACCTTGATTCCAAGCTGTGATGAGAAACGCGAACGACTCACTGAGACTTCCAAGAAGCGTGATAACCAAGTCATCTTCAGTTACGGGAGCGCCCACTACATCGAGCTGCTCCGCCAAAGTTTTCATCTTGTTGATGTGCGTGAGCACATCATCACCTTCATCCATTTTGGCTGTGAAGAAACGACGACGAAGAAAGAGCTTATTTGCCAAGCTCTTCTTCTCGAAATGGCCTTCCAGCCGCGACCATGCATCATACGCGTCCTTGGCCGAGCGAACCAGCGGCAGCTGCGAGTCCTCCATCGCGAGACAGATAATAGCCAGCGCCTTTCGAGCCTTGCGCTTGAAAGTTGACTGGTCCAGCGCGATACTCAGCTGCTCAAGCTTGATTTCTCCACTCGTGACCTCCCATAGGTCGCGCTCCTCCAGCACAATCCGCATCTTAAACTTCCAGGTATGAAAGTTTGTTCCGTCGAACTTGTTGATACGACTCGGCGTAGCTTCCATGGTGG